GCGGCCGGCCGGCCGCGCTGTAAATTTTTTTTCCCCCGCCCCCCCTTCGGCTGCCTTTTGAACACGTCGCCCGCATTTCCGAAACCAAACGTCAGATAGACTCGTCAACGGAATACAACAACGTCTACGGCAATGCAACGCCGGTCGATCCCGTCGTCATGTCGCGCTCGTTGTCGGAGGGGGAGGGGCGGCGAGTCCCTCGCGAAGTCACACGCGAGTTTAAACGCGAAATTAAATCCGCGCTGGTACAGACCGCGAATGTACGAACGGCTGAGCGGCTCTTTGTGTGTGTATATCCTGCCGCCGGGTTACAAAGGCAAGTCACGAATCGCGCTGACGCGCGACGGGGGGGTGGGGGGCAGGGAGAAGAAGGGCGTCTTTCGCTTTTATTTACGACGTCTGCTCGCCGCGAAGCGTCGATCTAATTCCGAAAGTTGCCGGCGTCGCGCGACGCGTGGCAAGATAGAGAGAGCGAGAGAGAGAGGGATGAAGGGGAGCGGGGGAGGAAAGAGACACGAGCGACGCGACGTGGCGACACGTGTCCGTAATGTTTGTGTAACACGTGAGAGGGCTCCTTGCATCTCGTTGCGTCGATACGATGCTACGCCACGACGAGTCGATCGACGGGAAGAAAGCGGCGTTGAAACGGTCGGACTTTCGATCACCCTCGTCTGGGGAGTTTCGGAGCGACGACGATCTTTGTGACGAAACTTCCACGAGACTCGCCGAACCTGAGCCCGTTTTCTCCCCTTCGTCAGAATGTAAGTAATTTTCATGGTAACGACGCGATTGAGAAGTATGCTTCCATATCTTCGGAATGAAATCTTACTCGAAAGGTGAAAAAAATTACTCGGCCGAATGAGTCGGTTGTCATTCTATCTTTCGAGTGAAGTTTCTTTCGAAGAAATTTACTCGTCGAATTTCTTGAAATGATATCTCACTCAAAACGAGTAAAAATTTATTCAAATAAAGCAATCTTGAAAATAACGTTATCCGGAAAGTTGCAAGAGAACTCAAAGTTAGATTCTTCATCCATACGAGCGAATATTTCTATTAGTTAGAATGAATTTGTTTCCATGAGAATAGAGATACATCGAATTGATTCTTCAACTTTGCATAAAAATATTAATTCAACAAGTTAGAGTGAAAAATTCATACTCTGTCGAATAAAAAGTCACTCGAATTATTTAGTCGAACGGATCGGTTGTCATTCTGTTCTTCGAGTAGAATTTCATCAGTGGAAAGTTACTCTTCGAGTTTCTCGGAATAATAATTCACTCAGTACTGAAAATTTCCTCGAAGCAGCAATGAAAATACCACCACTCGGGACCACACGAGGAAGGAATACGTTTAACTCAAACTTAGAGCGGATTCTTCATCCGAGTACGAGTGAATATTTCCATCAATTAGAGTAAATTTGTTTCTGCGATAATGGAATACATCCGATTCAATCATCCACTTTAACTGCAAATATTCGATCACGTGTCGTCGCGGAAAAGAGAACAACGTTCTGCAACTTTCACTCGAGGAAATGTCGGAAGCCGGGGAAAATTTTCATTTCCCCCCCTGTTTGCGGCTAATTCGTTCAAATTTCGCGCGCGATATTAAGACTTGAGGGGGATGCGAAGATTGCGTTCTCCGAACGACCTCGCGGAGAAACAACGAGCTCACTCCCCCCCCCGACAAAGCAACTCTCGTACCATGCGCGCGGAGTTTGCACGAAGTTTTTATTTACAAGGCGCGTACTTTATACGCTGGAGAGAAATGTGTCATGTCGCATAAACCGTAAGCGCGGCCCAGCTATCGGGGCGGAGATATTAACGCGGTGCACGCAACCCGGCGCACTCGTGCGTGGATCGTGCGTGCGCCCGCGATTTTTTCCCATTTATTTCCCCTCCTCCAGCACTCCTCTCCCTCCCGCACACTCCGTCGCCGTGTCTTTCCGCCGTGCGCGTTTTCACAGCCGCGGACCGACATCTTTATCGGTCGCCGAGTTCAACGTACCTTTTGGTTTGCTACCTACCAACCTACCGTCGCACTGATTAGCCCTTTCAACGTCGATGGCGTTGCGCGCGCGCGGGCGAGAGTCGCGCGCAATTTATGCGCATACATTTCACCGCGCGCCGCCGCGGATTCCGCGCTGTGTTTTCTTAGTCATCCCTCGCGCGCGCACGGGGTGCTCTCCTCTCCCTCCACCTTCTCAGAGGTCACGCACGGCGGAGACGGCTGGTGTACAGCGCGCGGGCGTGTGCTTAGCGCGCGCTTAATGCTTCCGGTAACCCGCGGAGTAACTTTCGCAAGTTGCGTGATTTTAAGCGCGTCGATGCGTGCTGTTCGTTAGCAGTTGGAATATTTTGTTCTGGGTCGGATTAGTGAAAATGTCGCTGACTGAATCGTCAGTAAAACAGTGTCGTGTCGATAATAAGTAAGTAAACGGAAGGAAAATGAGCATCAAATCAAGAATAGATTTTCTGATATACAGGGTGTCGCGAATTAATCTCGGTTCCCGTGGTGTGCAAGTAGAACGGGTGAAACTGAGCAGAAAAGTTCTATACTGTTTTGCCAAATAACACGCAAAATGTCGAGTTATCGATGAACGAAGAATAATTTTCTAACGAAGAAATTATTTGTTTCATTTTACAAATTTATTGTAACGAAATAATATTTTATCTAGTTAAAAGATATTATTTCAAATAATTGCGTTCTTCCTGTGAATGAGATGATAAAATTTGTACTCAAGCAAATAATGTTTCGTACAAGTATATGTTATTTCTATGAAATAAATTTTAGTTAAATAAATGGTAGCGCTAAATCTGAAAAGACCTTTCCCTCTGTGTGAGTTAAATCGTAATTAAGGTATGGAACAGAGATTTCTCGTTGCACATCAGGCGCGAGATATTTCGCACCTCGTATTTGGCAATTAACGCGTTAATTTAAACTTAGAGTGGATTCTTAATATCTACAAGAGCGAATGCTTTAGTCAATTAGAGTGAATGTAGTGAAACAGATCAGAGAGAGAGATTCACTCTTTCATTCCCAAAGAAAATATATACTCGACGATGCGCAGAGGAAGAATTTGCTCTACACGAGTGAAAAAGTTACTCGAAATCGACTCGACTGTGATTCTGCTTTTCGGAAGGAAACCTTGTTCTCGGAAAACATGTCGAGAGTGGGAAAAGAGGCGCGCTGACTGAGCGCACAATTTACAAGCGGCGTTAGTCGTGTTACGTTAATTTTATACGCGCTTACATCGCAAAATTATACTACAATAATAATAATAACGAAATCCGGCGAAATGCTTTTCCAACGAAATGTCACTTCCGGAATTCAGCTTATCGTGACGTTTCTCCCAAGCGTGTGGGCGCCCTCCGAGTAATCCTTTTCCGCGTAAGAGAAAAGGCTTGCACGAAAGGTCGGCCGGCCTCGGCAAAAATATCAAAGAGGAAATATTAAAGAGGAAGAAAGGAGGGGTTGCACCTGCGCGCGCGAGAACAAGCAAGACTACTAGGCGTTGGGATACGCTGCGTGATAAATTAGTCACGCAATGCATAAAAAAAAGAGTGAACGATGTTGCATTTCGCGATGGAAACACACACACACACACACAACTCCCGCACGACAATGCACCGCCGTTAATAAGTATGCATGATTCACCTCGCGACATCTAATCCTCGAGCGACTCTATCAGCGGGATATTATTAGCGGGGAAATTAATTTTCTATACAAAACGGAGCGTCGCTCCTGAGCCAGAAACGATATTTTTATTTAACGAAACGCGAGATGCGAGACTTTATTAAGCGACAATTAAATAACAAGCAAGATATCAGGTGTACAAATTAATTCTCGGCCCTGATATAAAATCAATTGTAATGCTTATTTGCAGAGCAGGAAGCTTTTTGCCGCCAATTTTAGGGCTAAATATAGTACCAACGCGATAAACTGTAAAACCGGTATATACAAGATGATTCAAGATCGATATTTCAAGGGGTAAATGTACATGCTAAAGTAAATAAAGAACGTCATATGAATATATGTCCATATAAATATATAAATATATAAACATATATAAATATATAAACATATAAATATATAGTTGACGTTTTTTCATTTATTTTAGCGTGTATATTTATCCCTTGGAATATTGGCAAGCATTTATGAATCACCTTGTATAGCTGACCTCAAACAACTCACACCGTGAGCACAGCAAACACGATGGCGTCTGACAGGCGACACATTAGGCGCTGTTTGCTCTCTCGCAATTCACTGTTATCGATTTATAAATATCTATTTCTGTGTATCGAGAATCCGCTTCAAGTTTCAGTTGAACATTCACTCCGGCGAATCCGGGGTGTTTTCACTGTCGTTTCGAGCGAATCCCCGTTCATTCTGAACGAGAAGCCGCTGCGAGAAATTCGGAGAGACCGCAAAGTCCGACAAATTCGGCGAGCTCGCCAAATCTCTCCCCGCGCGCGCGGTTCCTTCCTCCGTCTATTACGTGTGCCCGTGCCGACATTCGTTGACTCGATATCTGCGCCTTTTGTGTTACAGTTGGGCTTCTTCACGTACTACACGGTGGCGATGGGCGAGGTGAATCCTTCGGGGCCGGTGCCGATCGACAGTGTCTTCATTTACAGGCCGGACAAACGGCTCGAGCTCTGGAGGTTCGCCTTCTACATGTTCCTGCACGCCGGGTAAGTCGCATTCGACCAACTTCCTTTATCTTTTATCTCTCTTCTCTATCTCTCTCTCTTTCCACTTGGCTTTTTTATATTTTATCGGCGACATACACACACACACACACGCGCGATCGGCGTCGCGTCGTAAATAAAGTTCCCGTGAACGCGTTCCCTTCTCTCTCTCTCTCTCTCTCTCTCTCCCTTCTTTCTTTCTTTCTTTCTTTCTTTCTCTCTCCTTTTTTTATTTCGCGATTCGGTCGGCCATAATTGCGAGCGCGTCGAAAATATACGGGCGCGCTCGTATTTAACGGATATTTGTAGCATCACTCTCGAATAACGTCGGATCTCTCTCTCTCTCTCTCTCTCTCTTGCGATCGATTACTCGTACTCGTTAACACTTTGACGGCCGCGTACACGTGACTTCATCCCACTACTAGCGGTGCTTATCATCTTACGAAAGCAGTATTTATCGATAATGACAACCTATACGATTGTAATATTATAAAGAATATATATAAAAATAGATTTGCGAGTTTACACACAGAGAAAGAGGTTTTTTCAGATTTAGTATTTCTATTTATTTGACTAAAATTTGTCTCGTGGAAACAACACACATTTGTACGAAATATTGTTTATTTGAGTAGACATTTTACCGTCTCATTCAATAAAACTCCATTATTTAACAGAAAGAACGCTATTATACGAAATAATATCTTTTATGATGAATTGGGAGTTCCATTATTATCCTAAACATGCACTGAAAAACCTATTTAGTTGAGTCAACTAAATTCTTGTTTGCCCATAGTTAAACAAGAATTTAGTTGATTCAACTAAATAGGTTTTTCAGTGCATGTTTAGGATAATAATGGAACTCCCAATTGGTATATCCCAGTCGGATAGCCTATTTTGGAGCAACTTTGAGTATTCTATTCGTAATCTATGCTGTACCTGTAAATAGAAAAGTTCGGGAAAATTTCTATGCGAGTACTCGCGTTAACCGGCGCACGCGAAATTAAATCGCGATACCATCCGACCCCATGATTGCGCCACCACGAATCGTAACGACGGAAAGAAGAATAGAAATGAAAAGCGAGAGAAAGAGAGAGAGAGAGAGAGAGGAAGGAAGGAAGAGACAAACACGGAAACTCCGGGATCGGCACGACGTCGGCGCTGCGCGAATAATCGCCATTATGACAGAGCGGGAAAGAGGGATCGAGATAAACCACGTCTCGGCCGCGCGTTTCCTTTTTTTTCCGCCGGGCTTGCAGAATCGACGGCACACACGCATACATACACAGCGCACGTCTCGTGCGTGCGTGCGTGCGTTGCGTTTACGCTGTCAGTAATTCAGTCCGCTCCTGGTTTACGTGTTTTACCCGTCTCCGAGGGAGACTACGCGACACTACGCTTTTTATGCTCGGTCAACAATGGAGAGATGCGAGCCGCAATCATCCGGTCGGTTCCCCGGAGGGACGTCGACGAAAGTGGGACGAACCCTTGGAAGTGTGCCGGTAAATAAAAGCGACGCGCTATCCGTCGCATAAGTTCCAAGTTCATCGCGACCAGATGAATCTTTCCGAGCGATTTAAGACGAAGGAGTGACTCGAGTGATATAATTTCAGACGACACGGTGAACACGATGATCTTTTTCAAAGGTGAAGTTTTGCGAAACGGCTGTGATTGATATTCAATTGGACGAGGAAAAAAGAGACAGTGAGAATCTCCGCATGGATTCGATAGTGCTATAAAATTAACGAAATCTTTTTCAACCTCAACCTGGGAATAGCACTTTATTTCTTTTTTTTATCTAAACGACCACCTCGGGTCATTTGGACCCCAATTAAAAACTGTTATTATTAACAAAGTATAGCATATTGTTGATTGATATATGATTTATTATTATTCAGGGACATTATAAATATAGATTTACTCGCTATTTTTTGAAAGAAACGAAGGAAAACCCCCAAAAATATTTAAGAATCGGAATAAGCACATCGTGTCTTATTATGACGGTACTTCTAATTAATGAAAATATCAATTTAAAAAATACCGTCTTATCGCTTGTTTCCGATGAAATAAGATATTTAAAGGTTCGTGAAGAATAATTATTAAAAAAGATTGAAAATATATTAAATAATATTCATTTTGTAAGAATGTAAAGTAAGGCTAAATCGCGGTCATACACACAGGCAGGCACACACACACACACATACACAGAGAGAGAGAGAGAGAGAATGAAGAAGGCGTCGATTTTATTTCTTCTATTTAAGTGTTTCTTTCCTTTCTCATCCCCCTCCCCAACCCCCTCTCAATTTCACCAACAAGTGCTCGCACTCACTGCTGCAGTAGATTACAGCGATAGAATGCAAGGCGTATTCGCGGGCGCGCGAAAACCTGCCGGGGATGAAGCAGATGCGATCCCGTGCGGGCGATCCGCCAGCTGCGTCCGTCGCGCTCGCGCCGGCCGTTGGATCATTCCCGACGCTAATTCCGCCCTCCGTATCGCGGCGCGTCGCTCGCCGCGCGCGCACTCTCTCTACCTCTCGATATCGCTCGATTCGTCCGATACGATTCGCGCCGGAATGAAATGAAAGCGAGCACAACGAGAACGTTCCGCGGCACGCGCTATGCTCGCCATGTCGAACGAAAAGAGGAGAGGAGGGGAATGAGGAAGAAGAAGAGGAGGAGGCGGGGAGTGTGGACACAGTTTCCTCCGCTCGCTCCTATTTTTCCATCGTACTTCCTCCCCCCCCTCCCCCTCACCTTTTTCTTTCTACCCCTGTTTCCTCATCATCGCGGTCTCCTCGCCCCCCCTTTATCCCCTTTTTCACCCTGCTTGCCGACAATTTTTTTCGCTATCCTTTCCTCCATCCTTGACGTTTCTCTGGACGCACTGAAATTTCTACCCCTCTCTTCCAGCATTTTCAGTAGGAAGGGGGGGAGGGAGGGAGGGAGGGAGAGAAAGAAAGAAAGAGAAAAGGTTGCGGCCTGCGACCGCTCTTTGTCTGTCTTTCTCTCTCTCTCTCTTTCTCTCCGACAGGATAGAAGTTTTCAGCGCGCGGGGCTCTCTAAATTATTCATGGAAACGCCAGATAAGGCGGACCGTTTTCCCTACGTGCGTATGGAAACGGCGATAAGAGTGACCCCGGCCGCCATTCTCCATCCCCGTAGAAAGTGTTCGCCCTCGTTCTTTGTTTCCTCACCGCTCTCTCCATCTTTCTGTTTCACGCTTCCTCCTTCTCTACCCCCGTCCTCTTCCACGTTACTCTTTTTGCTCTCACTCCGTTTCATTGAACTGATAACACTCCGATATCACGCTCTCCCTTCTACTTATCGCGCTGTCTCTTTATTTTTTTATTTCTCGCGGAAGTGAATTCAGCGTTCTCTCTTGTTTGGAATTCTTCTCGTTTTATCGGTTACGTTTGTCTCTTGCCGTCGGACGCGAGTCTGTTTCGTTGACAAAGTCGACGTCTCACAGTAGAGAGAAACGATCGGCGAGTGAAAAAAGAGAGCGCTCTCGATCCCCTTACCGTAAATTAGCCAACCCCCTTGCCGGAAATTTCACTTTACACCCGTCCCTGGATTCTTAGGTCTACGGTCTCAATATTAATTATTACGCGTCTTCTTTCGTCACTCGGATCATACGCTGAGAAAAATATCCGATCATGTCTGATCGGATAATCCAATTGAAAAATAACAAACGGATATATGCAAGAGGTCACTAATTTTCCGATTAAGTTTCATCGGATAAAAGCGTCCCATTACCTGATCGGATAATAAAAATAACAATCGGACGCGTCGTTTAATCGGTTTATCCGGATGGAAATTTTTCTCACCTATACCCCGATGCGACTGCATTTTTACGCTCTTTTCTCGCGACATATCGTCGCGACGTTTTGTCCTCGTCGCATCGCTCAAACGCGAGCGACGGTCGCGGAACCGTAATAAACTTTGTCTCGCTCGGCCCCCTTCGCCCGCGCTTCGCTCTCTCTCCTCCGACTCTCGTCCGGGTGAGAATTCACGCCGTGTATTTGTCTTCCTTTCCGACACGGTTTACCGCTTTCCTTCGCCGATTCGCGCTTCCGCGTTTCGCGAAGCGTTATCGCGGCCGTTGGGTTATTAATGCGAGCAACGCCTCGCACGTGTCCGTTAAAAGTCGTTTCTCCCAACATCACCTGATCCTGAAGGAGCTCTCGGCCACGACGAGAGATTGAGCGTGGGAAGGAAAGAGAGAGAGGGGGGATACAACAGTGAGAGAGGTATAGTGGCTTTCACTATTAAGTGATGAAGATGATGAATTTCGTAGAGGCTGATGAATTCGTTCGCAGGACTCGAGGGAAGAGAATTGAGAAGATAGTCTCCACGCGTGTAGGTGGTAGTAATGTTAACTTCAGACACTCAACTATCTCAGGTAGTTGCCTGAAACTTTCGGACATTACCCGAGCACTCCAGTATTCGGGTAATTTCTCAAATTATCCGAGTACTCGAGCTTGATGAACCATACAGAGGCAAAGAAACTATTACCACGTATATACCACTGAGAAAAAATGTTTCAGCATTTGTAATTACGATCGTATTAAGTGAAAGAATTATAGTCAGGAGGATTATTTTTTTGGTAAATGTTATTATAAATATCAAGAATAACAATAATAATACTAAGAAGATCGATAATAATATTAATATCAATAATAACCTTATATGCGTATTGCTGTATTATTATTTTTATGTTCAAACCATAAAAAGGTACAGGTGAGGCCGAAAATAACTATGGTTTCTCTCAGTGCAAATATCGAGACTTTCCAAGTCTTTCGAATATTACTCGAGCATCTTGAATGCTCGTATATTTCTCAAATTATCCAGATACTTGAGTTTGACAAATCATATAAATAAAAAATGTATCTAAAATTTGAATTTCAGAAGACGGGATCCTTCAACCACGGATCTCCGTTGTACAGAGAGGTAAAGCGGGGTCTACAATGAGAATTTAAGTTCTAAGCCTCCAGAAATTCACCAAT